CGAATGTTGAAGCATACTCTCCATTGCCCACCGCAGTGCTTCCAACTCTGAATGCAACGCCGATTCCACTCGATCAAAATTGTGCAGCCCCATTAACTCACTATTTCCGAAATTATCATTCAACACCCATCCACAGCCACTGAAAATATTCGAAGAGGTCCAAGAACCATCTACCATGCATATATTGTCCAAACTTAAGATTTGGCTTTCCTCTGTTCCATTCCCAATTGATACCGGGATTTCCTGCTCATTTGCTTTGAACCATGCTTGACATTCGTTTTCTGCATAACGTGCAACCTCCAATGGATCCCTATCAATACCTCTGAATAATTTGTCATTTCTAGCCTTCCAAATGTACCAGATTAGCCAAGGATAAGGATCTCTGTCCAATTCTGGTTCCATTATCACATTCTTCCTCCAGAACAAATAATCCATATTCGCGTACGTGCTTTGTACAGGGAACAAAGCGGGATTGGTAGGCGTGGATGATAGTGCCCAAACTTGTAGAGCAGGTGGGCATTCAAATATTGCATGATTAATCGTCTCCTCAGGTTCCTCACATCGAGGACAATAGTTGTCACATCTCATATGTCTGTAGTTTAAGATGCTCGTAACTGCAACATGTCATGTTATCAGCTGCCACATAAGGTGACAAATCTTTTGAGGGGCTCTGACCTTCCAAGCATGTGCTTGGAGTTTAATGATACTAGGCTCACATACTTCCGTTTCCTCTTCCTTCCTCAAGATATTTCGTGCTACCCAGTACCCAGATTTTACTGTATACTGTCCATTCCTCGTATAGTTCCAGCAATACGTATCCCGTCGATGCGTTGAACTAATTGCCATACTCTTGATCAATGGTATATCATCTGCCGCAACATAATCTTGTAATCGCCTATCATCCCAACTCTTTGTTGTTTGATTAATCAAGTCACTCACTCGCATATTTGGATGCATGACCGGTGCCAGGGGATTTGCTGACCTCGCAGGTATAGTGGGAATCCAAGGGTCATCCCAAACTCTCACTTCGTAGCATGAGTGTACTTTTTGTCTGATTCCTAGTAATAACAGCTCTCTTCCGGCCGAAATGCTTGTCCACACATATGATGGGCTGTTCGCATTAATTTGACGCAACGGCGTACTCAACCTATAATATCGTCCTCTCAAAACACGAGCTACCAGAGAATCCGGGTTCTGCACCAATCTCCACATTTGCTTCGCAAGAAGCGCAAGGTTAAACTCATGAATCATCCTAAACCCAATTCCACCTTCTTCTTTGGGAAGGCACATTTTATCCCAAGTCGACCAATGAATACCCCTTTTTGGCGGATTAGAACTCCACCAAAACTGTGCAATGGCACTAGCTAAATTCTCACAAATCTCCAATGGAAGAAGGAAACAGGACATTACATACGTCGGAAGAGCTAGGAGTATTGATTTTATCATAACTTCTTTCCCGCCTTTAGAAAGCCATCTGCCAGTCCACCCATTCACTCTATTTCTCAGCTTGTCCTTGAGAAAAGCAAAAAGCTTGCATTTTGATCCACTGATATCCTCTGGTATACCTAGGTATGACCCCATTCCACCTTCATTCTGGATCCCAAGCGTGTCTTTAATCTCTTGTCTCACATCCTGGCCTATTCTTTTACCAAAGAGTAAAGAATACTTTTCAAAATTGATGCATTGTCCTGAAGCTTGACCATAAACCTTGACCACTTTCATTACTTCTTCACATTCACGGGGCTCCGCCTTACAGAAAAACAGACTATCATCAGCAAAGAGAAGGTGGGATACCGAGGGGCACGCACGCGTGATGCGCATCCCCGTTATCTTTCCTTGGCTCTCTGCGTGATTTAGAAGGCTAACGAGCGCTTCCGTGCACAGAATAAAAATGAAAGGGGACAAGGGATCCCCCTGTCTTAGTCCTCTCTCCGGAATGATATGTCCTCTTGGCTGTCCATTCATGAGGACCTTATACTTCACTGATGTAACGCATCTCATTATCATAGCAATCCAGACTTCAGAAAATCCCATTTTTCTCATGGTGGCCTCAATGAAGGACCATTCCATCCTATCATATGCCTTGCTCATATCAGTTTTGATAGCCATCCTCTTATTCCTGCCACTCGGTTTTGTTCTTAAAGCATGAAACATCTCCTGGGCTATCATAATGTTGTATGATATTTGTCTCCCAGCAACAAAGGCTGGCTGGGTTTCTGAGATCCTGTCTGGTAAAAACTTTTTCAATCTCTGGCATAAGACCTTAGAGATAATCTTGTAGCTAACATTGCATAAGCTAATAGGCCGTAGTTGGCTCATCTGGTTTGGCTTATCCACTTTGGGAATGAGACAGATGTTCGTATCATTTAAACCATTTGGCACCGTTCCCTCAAATAGAAATTGATTAACCATAAGAGTTACATCTTCCTTGACGATATCCCAGAACTTTTGGTAAAACAACGCCGTCATCCCATCCGGTCCCGGAGCTTTCTCCGGATGCATCGCGAAAAGAGCCAATTTAACCTCCCATTCAGTAACTGGAGCTGTTAGAGACTCATTATCAGATAAAGTAATTGTGGCTGAGACTTCAGAGAGTGCCTCCTCTATTGCCTCAGGGTTAGATGTTTGAAAGAGGTGTCTGAAGTAATTTGTAGCAATGGCTACTAATCCTTCCTCATCTTCCACAACATTTCCATCTGCATCCAGTAATTGGGTAATCCTATTCCTTGCCCGCCTTTGCTTCGTAAGGCTGTGAAAAAATTTGGTATTCCTATCCCCCTCTCGCAGCCAGAAAATTCGACACTTTTGTTTCCAGAACATCTCCTCCGCCTTAAGAGCGTCAGATAGTTCCTTAATAGCTGCCGCAATCTCCTCTGTAGTGG